CTGGAAATGCCAGCGACAACCACAGTGGAGCAGACGGGTGTGAAGTCGGTGCCCATCCGCAGCGGCGGGTACCAGAAAGAACGCGTCACCGTGATGCTAGCGTGCACGGCAACGAGGGAGAAGCTGAAGCCGTGGGTGTTTTTCAAGCGCAAGACAGTGCCAAAGGGCGACTTCCCGAACGGTAAGGACGTAGATGTGTTGTGTGTGCGTTTAGTGTTTGCCTCTACCCCACTAACGACCGTTCCTTTTTTCGCATATGTCATGGTCGGCATTCAAGAGAACAGATGGATGGTGGCGGAGAACGTCATCGAGTGGCTCGACAAGGCGGTAGCGCCTTTCATCAAGCCGAAGTTTGGCTTGCAGGGGCGAAGCGCTCTGCTCGTCCTCGACTCCTGTCGAGGTCACCTGACGAAGGAAGTCAAGAAGAAGTTCGCGGAGTACAACATCGTCCCCGCGGTCATCCCGGTGGGATGCACAGCAGAGGTGCAGCCCCTCGATGTAGCCATCAACAAAAGCTTCAAGGCATCGGTGCAGCAGCAGTACTAGAATTGGTTCGAGCATCACAGTGTCTTCACCAGTCATGACTTCCAATGTTTGCCCCGTCGCAAGGTTCTAACCTCATCTCCTCTACTGTTTATTCGTCGTGAAGGCAACATCAAGAAACCGCCTCCGGCAGTCGTTCTCAAGTGGGTTTCCAAGGCTTGGAGGGACGTGCCCGCTGAGCTCATCAAGAAGGCATTTTTTACGTGCGGCATTAGCAACGCACTGGACGGCAGCGAGGACAGGCTAGCGATGGCGCACTGGAGGAGCCAGCTGACGCACGAAGTTGATGTAGATGATGAGATCCAGGCTTATGGCTTCTGGGGCAACAACTGCCAGGAGCCTGAGTCGGATGAGGAGGAGTGACCTCCCTTAGGCTAGATTAGGTAGTAAATCCTGCCTCTATATGGCAAAACTTGTAGAAAATATGCGATTCTAGTGAAATATTATTGGAGTTTGTTCGAAAGCCTTGTGAGGGCATGTAGTGAATTGGTAAATCATTAAAACAGTGTTAAAAACATCAGAACTGTAGAAGGGTGCGCTTATAATAAGTAAAGAATTCTAGACGGGTGCACTTATAAATGAGGATCGGCCATAAGCGCATTGCTCCATATACAAGCGCATGCGCTTATCTTAGGCATGCGCTTATATCCGGGGTGATATGGTATGTGAGAACAAGATAAGTTGATAGCAAAGAGATACAAAGCCTGGGGATGCTGAGTCTGGGGGTTTAGGGATATTAGGGGTGCTGCGTCTGGGGGTGCTAAGCCTGCGGGTGCGGAGCCTGGGGATGCTGAGTCTGCGAGTGCGGAGCCTGAGGGTGCGGAGCCTGGGGGTGCTGAGTCTGAGAGTGTGGAGTTCGGGGGTGCTGAGCCTGAGGGTGCGGAGCCTGGGGGTGCTGAGCCTTAGGGTGCGGAGCCTGAGGGTGCTGAGTCTGAGGGTGCTGAGTCTGGGGGTGCTGAGCCTAGGGGTACTGCGTCTGCCGGAGGTCCTGCGGGTGCCTCGCCATGACAATCTCACCGGCGGGAGCCTCTCTCACCGCAGCAGCTGCGCGAGTGGTTTGCTCGGTGCACACGCCTTAGGAGTGGCGTTGCAGGAGCTAGAGGCCCTGCCGCTGGAGGCACTGGAGCTGGAGGTGCTGGAGCTACTAAACCTGGAGCTGCTGGAGTTACTGCTAGATCTGGAGGTACCGGAGGTGCTGGAGCTGCTGGAGTTACTGCTGGTGCTGGAGGCACTGTGTAGCAGCGACCGTTTTTCGTTCCGCCGCCGCCGCCGTCTCTGCCGCCACCTGACTCTGTCCTTCGTCAGGTTCTTAGTCTCCCGTCTTCTACTGGTCTTCCTCCTAGCTTACTGAGTCCACCGCCTCACCAATCGCAGCCACAGTTACAGCCAGACTCCCCACTGCCTGCTCCTTCTCCTTACGCTGAGCAGATAGATTCTCTTACAAAGCATCGTGAGCCTGAGTCTCGTCCTGCCTTGCCTGTTCGCGCTGTTTGCGCTGTTCGCACTGGTCGTCGTGTTCCTCGTCCGCGTCCTCCTCATGTCCCCGGCACTCACATTATGGCACTTCGTCCTTCCTTTGTTCCACTGCGAGTTCCCCTGCCATCTCCTCCTGCATCCTCTCTTGCTGACGGTCCGGACCTTGAGTCTGACTTAGTTCGTGCTGCCAGTCCTACTGTCCCATGTCTTCTAGCCACTGTTGTCACTGACCCTTCATTTGAGTCCGTTGCTGCGTCTGCCCTAGTTGCTGAGCTTGTTGACTTTGCTGTCGCCCGTCATCTTGACTACGCCACTACTCTTGTTGCTGAGTCTGAGTCTGACTGTCCTCCGTCCGTCGGGGGTGAGTGTGCTCTTGGCACGGACGTCCTTGAGGACAGGCAGGAGGACTTTGAGTGTCTTGCAGCTGCTGTACCTCATCTCGTGGCCATGCTGCTTGCACCTGAGGGAGACTCGGATGCACCAAACATCCCGACCCCGCACTCTTACGCAGAGGCGATTACGGGTCCCTACTCCTCTCAGTGGCAGACACCCATGGACGCACAGATGGCATCCTGGAAGTCCACGGGCACCTACGTCGACACAATTCCCCCGTCTGGGGCGAACATAGTCGATGGCATGTGGATTTTCAGGGTGAAGCGGCCGCCGGGTTCTTCGCCAGCCTTCAAGGCTCGTTACGTTGTACGAGGCTTCAGTCACCGATAGGGAGTTGACTACTTCCAGACCTTCTCCCCCACCCCGAAGATGACCGCTCTTTGAGTACTACTGCACGTCGCCGCTCAACGTGACTACGACCTTCACTCTCTTGACTTCAGCACAGCTTTCTTACAGGGCAGCCTGCACGAGGAGATCTGGCTGCGCCGCCCACTTGGCTTCACTGGATCGTTTCCTGCAGTTACCCAGTGGAGCCTCCGGCGGCCAGTCTACGGTCTCCGCCAGGCACCTTGCGAGTGGCACGACACACTGAGGACGATGCTTTTGGCTCTTGGGTTTGCTCCTTCGACTGCTGACCCGTCGTTGTTTCTGCGCACCGACACTTCGCTGCCGCAGTTCTACATCCTCGTGTACATCGACGACTTGTTTTTTCCCATTGCTGACATTGAGGCACTGGCCCTTGTGAACTCAGAGCTGCAAAAGAGACACACCTGCACTGACCTGGGTGAGCTGCGCAGCTATCTTGGCTTGCAGATCACCCGGGACAGAGCACGGCGCACCATCACCCTGACTCAGTCACATATGGTGCACCAGGTCCTTCAGCGCTTCGGCTTCCGGTACTCTTCGTCACTGTCCACTCCTCTGCCTACCGGTCACTCGCTCTTAGCTCCACCTTCGGACAAATCCGCAGAGCCGAGTGGCCCGTATCCAGAGCTTGTGGGCTGCCTCATGTACCTGATGACCTGCACTCGACCTGACCTTTCCTACCCTCTTAGCATCCTGGCACACTACGTTGCACCCGGGAGACACCGACCAGAGCACTAGGAGGCCGCTAAGAGGGTGTTGCGCTACTTGTGCAGTACATCGGGCATGGGGCTCGTGCTTGGAGGACGGGGTCCAGATGTCCTCACTGGACACGCAGACGCTTGTTTGGTTGACGACTTGGCTACGTAGCGGTCGTCACAGGGTTACACTTTTAGCCTTGGCTCCGGCTCTGTTTCTCGACGGTCTGCCCGCTCGTCTTCTGTTCTCAGTTCCAGTTGTGAGGCTGAGATCTACGCAGGGGCCATGGCTGCACAGGATTTACGCTGGCTCACCTACCTGTTGACCGACTTGGGAGAGCGGCCTCGTTCTCCTCCAGTTCTGTACGTAGATAACAAGGCCATGATTGCCTTGTGTCAGGAGCAATGACTGGAGCACAGGACGAAGCACATCGCTCTGCGTTACTTCCTTGCTCGAGAGTTGCAGCAGAGTGGTCAGCTTCGTCTTGCTTACGTGGCCACTTGGGCCAACACTGCTGATATATTCACCAATGCACTTCAGCCTGGTGATCATCAGCGTTTCTGTACTGTTTTAGGCCTTGTGCCTACTTTGCCTCACTTGCTCAGTGCGTGACTTTGCTTGTACTGTGATTTATATATATACCTGCATGCTTGCACTTGCTAGGGTATGATCACTGTATTGTTTGTTCTCTTTTATATATACATCTGCATGCGAACTGGCCTTGTGGCCCTTTGCTTGTGCTCGGACTGTGTGGTGACTTTGTGATCCACCCTGAGCTTACTTTGCTTTTCTTGACTGGTCTTGTGACCACTTATTCTCCCCCATTTTGCCTATGGGGGTGTGTCAGAACATTATAGCTTATACTTTTGTGTAGGCTGTAGTGGGGTAGCCCATAAGGGGTACAGCCCAATTAGGGTTATTACTTGTGCCAACTTTCTACTCAATGCATTCAATTCTCGTTCAGTTTCTTGACAGTAACTGTTGTTGCGGTTCGATACAGCGGCGACTCAGGTCACTGCTCAATAGCGAGTCAGTTATGTGTCCTTACTGTCGCACTGCTTTTCGGCGAGTCAAAGGTCGCCGACCTTTGACCTTCACTTAACTTCTTGCTGTTGTCTTTCTGTCATCTGCTTTGGTTGACTTGCTATTACTTCGTTGTAGTTCGCTTCGCTTACGTTGTAGTGCTCGACACATCGATGCGCGAACGATATGTTTCCAACAATTTTATGTTCAACTAGCCTGTAATTTTATCTACTACGCTTGCAATTTTATGTTCTAGCCTTTAAACCCTAGCTTGCTTGTGGATGTGGTTTCTATATATATATATATATATATATATATATATATATATATATATATATATATATATCTTGTGCTGGAATGTCCACGTGTTCCGAGCAAGCAAAAAGGAGCACTTATCCAAAACATTGCATGTAGTGACAACTACGGTACACTACAACAAAAACATGCGCACACATCTCCGGCAGATTCAGTCAATTGTGACAGTTTCAGTCAGCTTGACGGATTCAGTCGGGAAGAAACGTCCCATGGAAGCCGTACGGTACTCTCTTGGGCAGGATGACCCGAGCCAGCGGCTGCTTGTCCAGATTCATTGCATCCAGCACAATCACTTCACTCTTCATCTCCTCCTCATTCCATACATGTGCCAACACCCACCCATCATCCTCCTCCTCAGCATCCATCCCAACCGCATCAGCACCCAGTCCCACCACATCTCTACCCATTCCAACTTCATCTGACCGCGCTTCACCGCTCTGCGACCTGCTGCTGCCCTGGAAGTGGTGGCGTGGAGCAAACACAGGCTCCCCACAGAATCTCCCGGGTGGGAGCGTATGCACTTGATACGTGCCTTCTGCAAAATCATGCTTCATGATGGCATTGAATGATGGGACGGTGGTGCCTGGCGGTGGGTTGAGTGGGAGGAGGGGTGGGGAGGGGAGATAGATGAAAGGAGGTGATGGAAAAGGGGCGTTGGGCACTTGGTATGTGCCTTGTACAGAGTCGTGCTTCACACTTGGCTCAACAATAATGGAGAACGAAGGGACGGAGGTACCACCCCTCACCAGAACTGGGCTGCTACTAACCCATCCCTGCCCACCCACCATCACCCCTACCCACCCACCACTATCCCTGCCCACCCACGGACATCCTGACCCATCCACCAGCATCCCTGCCCACCCACCAGTATCCCTCTGAACTGCTCACCAGGGCCTGGCTGTGCTGTGAATCGGGCAGAGTAAGCGAATCGATGGAGGCGGCCCGTGAAATTGGGGTTGATGGAAGGGAAGTCGCAGCACACCTGTGCAGGTGGGGAGAGAGGGAGAAGGGAGGAGAGGTAATGGAAGGGCAGGATTTGAAATGAACACAAGAAGATGGGGTTGTTGGCGGGGAATTCGCAGCAGATTTGTGGGCGGTAGAGAGGGGAGGAAGTGGAAGGGGAGGATGTCAAGAGAGAGAGAGGAGGCTGAGGAGTGATGACCATGACTTTGGGGTTGATGGAAGGGAAGTCGCAGCACACCAGTGCAGGTGGGGGGGGAATGGAGGAGAGGTGAAAGGGGGAAGGCGAAGGGGTAAAGCTGAGGAGTATTGAACGTGACTTGGGGTTGATGGAGGGAAAGACGCAGCACACCTAGGCAGGTGGCGAAATATGTTACTCTTTTGGAATATCCGAAAACACGTTTACCATACCATACCGTACCGTACCATACCTTGCACTGCACAGGACAGGCTCTTTCAAGGAGTAACACAGCCGGCGCTCCCAGCTGCGTTTCGGACCGGAGATGGCAATGCAGTCTTCAGATGTCTAAAAAAATAAATTATGTTCCCAGTACCTTGCCTTTTACGGCACTTCAAAAGGCATTCCCCTACCTTGTACAAGGAGCGTTCCTCCACTACTCCCGATTGGAGGTCCAGCCTGCACTGCACTTGTGTAGTCACCTCCTGAGGCGCTGTAACTGGTATTCCCCATACGTTGTCTTATGGAGGTGAAAAAACAGGTTTGAGATGCCCCAGACCATTTTACCCATCAGTACCCATCAGTACCCATCAGTACCCATCAGTACCTATCAGTACCCATCAGTGCCCATCAGTGCCCATCAGTGCCCATCAGTACCCATCAGTACCCATCAGTACCCATCAGTACCCATCAGTACCCATCAGTGCCCATCAGTGCCCATCAGTACCCATCAGTGCCCATCAGTGCCCATCAGTGCCCATCAGTACCCATCAGTGCCCATCAGTGCCCATCAGTACCCATCAGTACCCATCAGTGCCCATCAGTGCCCATCAGTACCCATCAGTACCCATCAGTGCCCATCAGTACCCATCAGTACCCATCAGTACCTTGCACACGAAGCGTTCCTCTACTGCTCCCGATTGAAGGTCCAGCCGGTACTCGTACAATCGTGCCACCTCATCGCATGCCAGCTCATCTGCCAGCTCAGCAAGGCCCAGCGCTGAGAAGGCGGGGAAGCGGATGACACGTAGGACGATGGCGGGTGATGAGGGAGAGGAGGAAAAGGTTGGAGAGGTGGAGGAGGAAGAGTCCGGGGAGGAGGGTTCTTCAAATGCGTTTACCACATGAAGACAGAACCTGCAAGAAGGCAGATGGAATATGGGAAAGGAGATGGACAGGAAGGAGATGGAACAGAAGCTTGAAAGGAAATTTTGAGGCGCCTAAAAAAAAAACTGCAAGGAAGCAGATGGAATATGGGGAAAGGCGATGGAACAGGAAATTGAAGGGAGTAGGAGGAGCAAGAGAAGATCATTAAAGAAAAAATGAGGGAATGGGAGAGTGAGAAAAGGTGTGGGGAGGTTGGTGAGGAAATCAAATAAGATTGAAACAAATCAATGAATCTGAAGCTCAGAGTGTATCAAATCAAATCTCACCCTGGGTCCACAGTGAACCAGCGAATGTTGGGATTGGAGCCGAAACGCGGGTGCTGCGTTGTTTTTCAATCCACAAACAGGATGCAACACTCTCAAAACAGGATGCCAAAAAGGTTGTCACAGGAACTCACCCTGGCTCCACAGTGAACCAGCGCATGTCTGGATTTGAGCCAAAACGCGGGAGGATTCCAATGCAGGAAGGCTTGGACTGGATTGGGGGGAGTGAGGGGAATGTGGAGAGAGGATGAGGGAAGGTGAGAGGTGAGGAGGACGCTAGACAGTCAGGATAAATTTGAAGTGCTCATCCACACCCTCTTATCCCCCTCTCCGAATAGAGATTGCTCTGGATAAGAAGCAGGATTGGGAAGTGCCTTTGGAGCAGCAGTGACAAAGACAGGACAGCAACTTGAAAGCAGTGCTTCGCTCCCTTCGTTTTAGGAGTTAAAAAAAAAAAAAGAGGGAGGGGGGGGGGGGGGGGGGGGGGGGGGGGGGGGGGGGAGGGGGGAGAGTAATAAATGAAGGGATTCGCCTTGCCGTGCGGCCAAACAACCTTTTTCTTGGTGCTTTCTAGAGCAATATTGAGAATTCCCACCAAAGCATCAGTGGGGGGCAGAGGCAGTAGCTTACAGGGTCGAAGACGAAGGGCTTGGCCTTGCCGTGCGACTGAATGACTTTGTCTAGCTGGAAGCGAAGCGGGAAGTCGAGGAATATGCTGTAGTGCTCTGTTATGGCGAAATCATGCATCTGAGAGGAGGGGTGAGGGGGAGGGGAGGATTGGAGGAATGGGATGGGAGAGGAGGGGAGAGAGGGAAGCGAAGTCGGAGGTCAAGGAATATGCTGTAATGATGTGTTATTGCGAAGTCATGCATCTGAGATGATGGGTGCGGAAGGGGAGAGAGGGGAGGAAAGAAGAGGTGAGCATTGAGCAATGGTGGAAGAGGAAGGGGGAAGTCGAGGAAGATGCAGAAATGCTGCAATAGTGCGAAATCATGCATCTGTGGCAAGGGGTGAGGGAAAATGGGAGGGGAGGTAGGGGAGAAGGAGCAGGTGAGGGCATAAAGCAACTATGAAGGGGTGGGGAATCCGATGTCCGATGAAGAATGGGAGATACTGTGATGTTCTGTTATGGCGAAATCATGCATCTGACATGTGCTTGTTAGTGGAGGAAGGTAGGAGTTGGGAGAGGTGAGAGGGTGATTAGCAAAGGAGTGGACGAAAATGTAGGTGTAAGATGCTACAGTGGTTTGTGACGGCGCTATGACATAACCCCACCATACCATGCCAAACCACACAGAACACTACTATGCCGCTTTCGACCAAAAACAACTATCCATAAGATGACATAACATAACCCACCACCCCATAACAAACTTTACCACATCTAACACTGATGTACTCCTCACATCTACCATGACATGTCTTACGACCGACCAACCAATACTGTACCATACCACATCGAACACTACCCCACCACTCTGTACCATGACAGGGTGTGGCAGGTCGAGGTCTGTGGCGTGAACGAGGGAGCCAGAGGGGTCAACCACCCCGTAGCGGAGGTAGGGCTGTGCGAGGGGGGAGGTGGGCATAGGGAGAGTGAGGAGGGAGGTGGGCACAGGGAGAGTGAGGAGGGAGGTGGGCAGAGGGAGAGTGGGAATGGGGAGATGATGTGAAGAGGCAAGAGGGAGGATGACCACCCATAGGCGTGACGGGTCACAGCCCCGTAGTGGCAATACGGCTGGTAGGGAGGAGGGAGGCAGGCAGGGCGAAACAGAGGGAATGGGGTGAGAGCATGACTTCAAAGACGAGAGAGTGATCGACTAGAGCAGATATAAGTTCTGAAGGGGGGCAGGAGGCCGGCACAGAGAGTGTGGGAATGCTTTTTAAAAACATGCTTTTACAGCTCATACCATACCTTGTGAGTCAAGTGTAACCGTGAATCACCATGTGGTTTTGTTTTCTCAACCTCTTTAAAGCTCTCACCGCTTTAACCCTCAACTGTTAAAACAACTAGCTCATACCTTGTGCGTCAAGTTGTATCCATAGATCATCATGTGGTTTGTGACCGGATCCACTTTCGGGTGAGCTGTCATTCCACTGCGCCACGTGTCGTCAAATGAGTGGACGCCCTGAGGGAAATACAGCATGACCGATGGGAGTAAAAAAGAAAAGAAAAAAATGACAAGGTGGGGTGACACTGCACTATCCGAATAAAAAGTTGAGAGGCACAAAAAGAAGCAGCAATAGGATTTGAGAAACAGAATAAGAGGGGACAGCAAAGAGGAGCTTCTTTTTGTCCCCCTGTCTCAGCAGAGAGAAACAGGGGACAGCAAAGAGGAGCTTCTTTTTGTCCCCCTGTCTCAGCAGAGAGAAACAGGGGACGGGAATGGGAGAGAAGCTGAGATTGAGGAGGCGAGTTGTGAGAGGTGGAGTTCATCAGTGTTGTGAGCCAACGAGTGCAAAAGGCACAGCAGGCCTACTTCTTACTGAGACACGTGGAAGCACGTTTGTTATAAGACTTTGGTGGGTCCAGAAGGCACGGTGGATTGAGCATTTTTAACCGTTTCTTTACTTGGTACGGTGGGTACGGTAGATAATTTACCTTGGTGTCGAGGGTGGAGAGGTCGAGGGAGTACGGCAGGCCTGCTTCCCAGAGGGAGAGGAGGCGACCAGTGTGAGGAGGGTGATGTGAGGGGTGCTCTTACCTTGGTGTGGAGCGTTGAGGGGTCGAGGGAGTATGGCAGGCCTGCTTCCCAGAGGGAGAGGAGGCGCCCGGCGTGCTGAATGAAATGGTTGTTGGACACGTTCTTGGTCTGATTGGGGGGAAAGTGGGGGAGAGGAGACAGGTGGACAGGGGGATGTGGCAAGGGGGCGTGGACAGAAGAACACAGAAGAATGAGGAGGCGACCGGCGTGCTGAATGAAATGGTTGTTGGAAAAGTTCTTGGTCTGATTGGAGGAAGGGGGGAGAGGGGTGAAGAGGGGAGGGGAGCGGATGGGAAGGGAGGAGTGCAAAATGAAATGGTTGTTGGACACGTTCTTGGTCTAATGAGGGAGGGGAGGTGGAGGGGGGAAGCGTGACAGGCAGAAGGGGTGGATCAAGAAAGTGCTCCCAGCTTTAGCCTGAGAATGCTCACCACCGCCAGCAGCAGGTGGGGCTAGCCCGCCCCCAACCCAGCCCCCAGCCCCACCTGCTGTACCACCCCCCACCAAAACATACTCCCTGCCAATACACACACCGTACCCCTTATAAGCCTCCTCACCATGTTCCACATGGGTGCGTCCTGCTGTCTCAGCCCGAGAAGGTTCATTGCAGCCAGCAGCAGATGATTCGCCCCTAGCCCCACCTGCTGCAACCCTCCAAATAACGCCCGCCCCGCCGCCCGTTCCTCCTGCCAGCCTGTCGTTCGGATGTAGCGCCGCCCGTAGCTCACTCGAGATGAGTGAAAGTTCTCTCCATCGGGGTGAAAGTTCTTCTCAGGGGGGTGAAAGTTCACTGAGTGTACCATGCCGTCCCCGTCGAACCAGTGGTAGAGAGCGGGGCTGGAGGGAGGCAGCTGCGGGTTGGGGCCATTGCGAATGAATCTACCCCTCAGACCCTGGGGGATTTTACCTATCACCTGGTGTATTGACAAGAGAAGCAGAGAGGCAGAAAAGGAAGGGGACGGGGAGGAGGTGAATGTGAGGCGATTCTTTAGGCGCGTCAAAGATCAAAGATAAGATAATAAAAGCAGGCAGGGAAGGGGTTGGAGGAGGTGAAGTGAGGTGGGGAGGAACCAGGAGTGAGAATGAAACGAACAAGTGAGCTGAGGAGGCAAGTTTCAATCAACCAGTGCACCGACAAGCATGTGAGGGCAGCGAGGCAGAGACAGCGTACAGGCGAGGGACGAGGTGACAGACAACGCAGTGTGCAGACAGACAACGCAGTGTGCAGACAGACAACGCAGTGTGCAGACAGACAAGCATGTGAGGGCAGCGGGGCAGAGAGACAGCGTACAGGCGAGGGACGAGGTGACTATGGATGGCACGAGATGGCGAGATGGCGAGATGGCGAGATGGCGAGATGGCGAGATGGCGAGATGGCGAGATGGCGAGATGGCGAATGGGACACTCACAGCGCATTCAAGCTCCTGAAGCACCTCGTTGCCCACTGGCCTGAAGTTGCCACTCAGATACGGATTGCGAGCAGGGCTCTTGGTGGTTGCACTGCTGCTTGCACTGCTCGCAGCCTTGGAGACGTTCCCACCATCTGCACCTCCTGCTGCCCTCTCCTTAGTACCAGCTGCAGCAGCAGAAGCCGATGAGCCTGGAGCAGAGACAGAGGAATCGCCAGAAGTAGCTTCAGTAGCAGCACCAGCACCAGCAGCACCAGTGGCAGCGGCGGCAGCAGCAGCACCGATGACAGAGAGCACGTCAGCCACGCCATGCACCGTGTGGGACGCCTGCCTGCCTGACCGTTTCAAACCCTCCCTCGTCTTTGCATTAGATGCATCTAACCTCGCCTTCAGTGTCCGCACGTCAAGATGCTCCTCCAGATGGTGCAGTTGCTCGGAGTGAATCAGATGCTGCAGCTGCTCCCGTGTCCGTTCATTCGACGCCTTCAGATGCTCCATGGTCCGTTCATTCGACTCCCTCAGGTGCTCAGACATCCACTGGTGTCCCTTCTTGAGATGGCTTAGAGTCCACTCGTTGGACGCGTGCAGGCGATTCCTCAGGTGCTTCAGGTTCTCCCTGGTCTGTTGGTTTGATTTCTTCAGGTGCTTCGCCGTCCACTCGTTGGACGCGTGCAGGCGACTCCTCAGGTGCTTCAGGCTCTCTGCTGTCCGTTCGTTCGACCGTTGCAGCTGCCGCTTCACCTCACTCAGATCCAGATGTGCTGTGAGCCGTTGATTGGGTTGATCAGAAGCAACAGGAGGCACCTCAGCTGCTGCCTGCTCTCCTGTCTGCTCCTCCTCCCTCGGCTGCTCCTCCCTGATCGTTCCACTCTCCCCCAACTCCCCAACTGCCTCTGACTCTCCCGTTGCTCCTTCACTCTCTCCTGTTCCACCCCAGTTCCCACCACCAGCATCACCAGCTGCAGCAACAGCAAGCAACGGCAGTCTGGAGCTGGAGCCATCGTACAAGTCGTTTCCCCTGGTCCCAAAGCTGGCTCTCAGCAGAGAGGGGAAGGGGACGATACCCGGCCTCCTGAGGCTAGTGGGAGCGCGCAAGCCGTGCCAGGTAGGGAAGCTCGACCGGTTGAGACCGGTTGTGATGGTGCGACGGCGAGGGAGAACGGAGCTCGTCAGGAAAGGAGCTGGTGCGGAACGGGAAGGGCGAGGAAAGCAGGTGGCTCCTCCTGAAGCGGAAGTCGCGGCGATCGCGGCGGGGTTGGAAGTGAATACAGCTGATAGAGACGCCATGGCTGCGAGATCAACGGTCAGGAGACAAGGAGCATAAGGCTGCGGGCTTCAGTCGGCTAAGGATCTCTTGAAGCCGGTCTGGCGCGCAGGCTATAGCGGAAGAATTCCCCGAGTCTATTCAGAATGCCACTGAATAGCGCCGTTCCAGTTCTTGTGTCCTCCTCCTCCCCTTCTTCCTCCTGCGTTCGTGCGTCGAGCGCAGACGACTCCGGAATCCGTGCAAGCTGACGTCTGCTAACCAGGTTCTATTCTGACTACTTCAGCAGGTAATATTACGGTCCTACTTGATAAAGTGATTACGATTCCTCGGAAAATATCCAGATTCCTAGGAATTCCCAGGACCGAGTCGCTGGGAACGCGACTGCATTCGGAGAGCGGCTCGTTCGTCGTTAATTGATACGGAATCGGCGGCTCGGCTGGCTTTGATTTTGCCATTCTGGGATCAGATTGCATTGGCGTCGGGACACGCGGCGGCGCGTAATTATAGCAGACCGCCATGGCCGCTGCAGCTGCTGCGCTGGATGACCTTGCGCACACCTGTCATTCGAAGGTGATCAACTCTGACACGAAGAGCTGAACGCAAGCTGGCTCATGACACGTATGTTTTAGCGTGTTCGGAGGTGACGAGGTAAATGAAAAAACGCCGATAAAGACGTATTAACATTTTCAATACTCAAGCCGGTGTAGCTCAGTGGTAGAGCATCTGTCTTGTAAACAGAAGGTCCAGAGTTCAATCCTCTGCGTCGGCACGCCTTTTGCCTTTCTTGCCACCTGGCATTTGCCATTCTGGCTCGATCCTCCAATCGCAGAGCTGCTTTTCCCAAATGCTGTGGAGAACAGGTGCAGGGCAGGCACGCAACCTGGTGAATGAATGCAAACACGCAATGAGATTTTTGCTGCCGTCCTATGAGAAAAATCTCCTGCCCGTTCCGAGATTTTTGCCTGGTGAATGAATGCAAACACGCAATGAGATTTTTGCCTGGTGAATGAATGCAAACACGCAATGAGATTTTTGCCTGGTGAATGAATGCAAACACGCAATGAGATTTTTGCCTGGCTTTCGAGAAAACAATTTCCTGAGAGTGAATGCTGGCTCGAAGCGCGGCAGAATACGTGTTTCCTGGGAGCAGGGAGTCTGTGATGTTGTGTCATCTATGAGACAGGATTCTGAAGTTGGGACACCATCGAAGTCTCCCCACCATAACAACTTTTCCGATGCTGATGGTGTCCAGGTGGGGCAGGACCCCATTTGGACACTGAGCCTTGTTTCGGCGGGCGACAGAGGTTGCCCAGATCGCATGACAGGTGTACAGCCAAATCCACTTCGTCTCCAATAGAATCCTCCCACCGAATCGCACGCTGAATGTGCGATAATTTTCGTCAGCCAATAACTTAACGGCCATGCCTGACGGTCGCGCCAGTCAAGATTTTCCGACAGCAAGTAGCACGTAACCAGACTTTCTGACAGGACAACCCCCCAAACCACCAATCGTGGCACGATCTATGAAATCGCACACTGACGTGCAGGCAGAGAAATGCGACCGTGGCCGATTGCACTGAAGTCGGACCGCGTGGACAAACATTGAAATGTGAATTAATTCAAAATCATCATTCCGAGACGCGTGGGAAGACTTCGGATAGTGTCCCAACTTGAGAATGCGGCCTGACACTCTGTGACTTGCCTCTGCTTATATTTCTGCAAAAAGCTACTACTTTTCCGAGAGAAGTTCTGCTGCAGCTTTGTTTCGTCTCAGGTTGCGTTAGATGTTTATGAGCAAAACTGGGATGAGTAGCAGCACGTGCAAGACATTCTCGCTCTGAATCGGCCGTTTGTTCCCGCTGTAGGTTTCGGAGGCAGTGCGATAAACGGTCTCGGATAGCTGCACGAGACTGGAACACCAAGAAAACTAGTGCTTCCGTCGCAAGGCGGCTTGAGGGGGTCGCGCATACTTCGCCACATTAAGTAACATCAGAGTATTGTTTTCGCTAATCCACGACCATCTCCGCAGCCTTTCGAAACAGGAAGCAGGAAGGGGAAAGGGAGTCAGGCGAGTCAGAATGGGAAGCGCTGGGGCTGATTCACGCCAACCCCGTAGACATGACCAACGTGCTGAGCGTTCTCAGAAGGGTAACTTATCCCCCCCTCCCCTCTTCCATATTTCCCCCTCGCCCTGCCTCCTCCCTCCCTCTCCCAGATACTACCTAGTGAGAGCAGGCGAGTCGGAGTGGGAGGCCCTAGGGCTGATTCAAACCAACCCTGTAGACAAGACCAACGTGCAGAGCGGCTAGTCTGGAGGAGGAAAAAAGCAGGCACAATCCCCGCCCCCTGCCCCCTGCCCCCTGCCCCCTGCCCCCCCCCCCCCTCCTCCCTGTACCCAATTCTTCCAGGTACTACTTAGTAAGAGCAGGCGAGTCAGAGTGGGAAGCGCTGGGGCTGATTCACACTAACCCTATATACAAAGACCAACGTGCAGAGCGGGCTGTCAGGGGAGGGGAAAAAAGCATGCAAAATCCCCGTACCCTGCCCTCCTTCCCCCCCCCCCCTCCCTGTACTCAATTCTTCCAGCTACTACTTAGTAAGAGCAGGCGAGTCAGAGTGGGAAGCGCTGGGGCTGATTCACACTAACCCCGTAGACAAGACCAACGTGCAGAGCGGTCTGTCTGGGGAGGGGAAGAAGCAGGCGGTGGAAGCTGCCAGGAAGCTGCGCAAGATGGACGCCTGTGGGGGAGGGTGCTGGATCTGGCCGTCCATTTCCCAGCGGGCATATCAGACGGCTGAGGTCGTTGCTTACGTCAACGGCGCCGATTACAGGTGCGTTGGCTGTTAGGGCGAGGAGATACACCAGTGGTGTGGTATGGTGTGTGAATAGCAGAGTCCTAGTTTCTGATACATCTATTTTCTACTCCTCATGCACGTGATGAGCCCACTCGTGATACATCCACAGGGAGTGGGGTGTTCGTGTCGCTCTCAACCCTCGGGAGTCAATTCGCTCTGCCCACCATAACCCTCTCTCCTTCCTTCCCACCCCCCAACCCACCACCAGCCGCATCGTGCCAGAGTACAGCTTCCTGGACTGGGGGCGTCCCCTCTCTCTCCTTATACCTCCCCTCTCACTACACCTTTCTCCAACTCCCCTCATACCCCACCCCCCAACCCACCATTAGCCGCATCGTGCCAGAGTACAGCTTCCTGGACTGGGGGCGTCCCCTCTCTCTCCTTATACCTCCCCTCTCACTACACCTTTCTCCAACTCCCCTCATACCCCACCCCCCAACCCACCATTAGCCGCATCGTGCCAGAGTACAGCTTCCTGGACGCCAGGGGGCTGGGGAAGATCCCTCTCTCTCCTTACACCTCACCGCTCAACACCCTCACTGCATCTTCCCCTATCCCCCCTCTCTTCCCGCCCCCCACCAGCCGCATCGTGCCGGAGTACAGCTTCCTGGACGCCAGAGGGCTGGGGGCGTTTGAGGGACAGCCGCTTGAGACGATGAGCGAGGTGGGTTGGGGGTAGAGGGATCGAGGCAGATAGAGAGAGGGGAAGAGAGGGGGAAAGAAAGGGGTTGGAAAGGGAGTACAGCTTCCTGGACGCCAAGGGACTGGGGGCGTTTGAGGGACAGCCACTTCAGATGAGATGATGAGCGATGTGGGTTGGGGGAAGAGAGGTAATGGCAGAGAGGGGCTTGGGCGGGAGATAAATGGAGAGAGGGGGGCTTGTGGGGAGAGAGGGGTTGGAGGTGGAGAGAAAGGCTTTGAGGGGAGAGAAAGGCTATGAAGGGAGCGAATTGCTGTGGGGGGAGAGAAGGGATATGGGGGGAGAGAAGGGGTATGGGGGGAGAGAAGGGGTATGGGGGGAGAGAAGGGGTATGGGGGGAGAGAAGGGGTATGGGGGGAGAGAGGGTTGGTTGAAGAATATAGTGGGAGATGTGAGTGGGGGGGGGGAGGGTTAGGGGGAAGGGGGGAGGGGGGAGGGAGGGAGTGATAAGTGAATCAGCAGCAAAGCGACCACAATGTAATCTCCCACCTCCCTCGCCACATGCCCCATCCCATCCCGTGCTCATGCTCCCATCCCCAGTTCTACTTGGAAAACTCTGACTCTTGCCGATGGCGCCCGCCTCCCTTCACTGACGGCACCTCCCATGAGAGAGTGGCGGACGTGCTCGCTCGAGCTCTCCCCTCCTGTTGCTCATTCCCCGCTCCCCCCTGAGGCTGACCCTTGTGATTCGGGTCTACTTTGAACTTGAAGACTCTGTCTCCTCCACCTGGCGTCCGCCCCTCTTCACTGGTGGCACTCCCCACAAGATCGTGCGAGCGAGGTCTCGTGAGAGTGAGGCAGCTCCTCCTCCCCCCCGCCTCCCCTTGCCCCCTTGCCTCTCTTCCTTTTTACTGTGCCATCCCGTGCTCCCATTCCCAGATCTACCTAGAAGACTCTGTGTCCTCCAGGTGGCGTCCGCCTCCCTTCACTGACGGAACCCCCCATGAGAGCGTGGCGGACGTGCTCGTGCGAGTGACGCAGCTCATGTCGATTCTTGAAACGCAGTACTCCAGAGAGGCAGTGGTGATCGTTTCACCAGACTCTGACTGCCTCTCCGTGCTGCAGTCTGCTCTGATAGGGAAAGATCTCAGAAGGTATGTGAAGCGGGGTCAGGGATGTGAGACGTGTTGTTCTTGGCAGCAGCTCATGTCCATCCTCGAGACGCAATACTCAAGAGAGGCAGTGGTGATCGTGTCTCCAGACTCTGACTGCCTCTCCGTGCTGCAATCCGCTCTCATTGGCAAGGATCTCAGAAAGTACGTGAAACCCGATGTACTAGGCTACTGGCAGCAGCTCATGTCCATCCTCGAGACGCGGTACCTTTTCCTCTCTGGAGAGATGCATTGGTGGCGAGTCTCCAGACTCTTGCTGCCTCTCTGTGCTGCAATCCCCTCCTTTTCCTTCTCTCCTCTTCATCCTCTGCTCTCCTTCTTCCCCAGCTTCCGTCCCCTCGTTTGCCACTCATCCCATCCCTCCACTCAGCATCTCATCCCTCCACTCAGCATCCCATCCCTCAGTTCCAGCCTGTACTTCCAACCTGGGGAGGTGAGGCCGGCCGAGATGAGCAACAACGTCCTTCCTTTCCCCTCTCCTGTGCATCTCCTCCCTCTCCCCCCATCAATGCAGTCACAGCGGCAGGTAGACATCAGCAACAACTCCCCCCCTCCTCCCATATCCGGTCTCATCTCGCTGAACATGCTCAAGAGATAGCACATTCCAAACATTTCTGAATATTTATAAGCACGTGAAGGGGTGAGGCAAGTTGATATCAGCAGCAATGCCCCCCCTCCTCCCATGTCCGGCCTTGTCTCGCTCAACATGCTCAAGAGATACTTTCGAAACAGAACATGCTAATGCATTATTAGCACTCGCAGGGTGCAGTGTTCAATTGATGTACAAGCTTTTATCTTGCTTTGCACTGCCTGTTGTTTGAGCAATTTTCAGCATGTCACGAAAACTGCATTAGCTTGTGCCATGGCCTGGTGTGTACATGCGCCTACCACACTAGGTGTAAGGAAAATTCATTTTCCTTACTTCGCGCCCCTGCTTACCGCGTACAAGACCATTCCCGCCATCGGCACCCAAACAGTGAAACGTTACCCGCTCGCGACACGACACTCGCCTCGACTATGACTCCCGCCACTGTTCACGACGCGACCCAACCTCACGGTTCGGTTGGTAACCTGCGCTCCGGACCTCCGCCTCGACATATCCCAACCTCGGCGCTAGGCCCGTAGCGCAACCCAATTCCTCGCGTTACCGTTACCACTCTAGTTCGCTATATATTCTTCGCGCATGCCTTCGCTCATTGTATTGTTTTGCTTCGATAGTGCAATTCTCGCCTGCTCGCTCAATTGCACTCGTAACACTTGGTATTCAGAGCCTACGATCTCCTCTCGGACCGCACCCACACCTTCGCTTCCCCACTATATCCATTTTTGGGGGGGGGGGTAGATGTCTCTCAGCGAACAAGCACCGCCGCTCGAAGTGCTCTCTCGTAAGCACGCACGGCCACGACAGAGGCTCTCGCTGAGCTTGCCCGACACCCCCGCCATGGCCGAAATTAATCTCGCGACACTGACGCAGGAGCAGCTCGACCGTCTCGTGCGCCAACTCGAAGATTCGGCGCTCGAAATTGCGACACTCACGGCGGAACGCGACTCCGCTCGCCAGCAATCGACGGTGAATGCACCAGCACCAACACATGCACATGCAAATGCACCTGGACAATCGGAGGAGCCGATCGTCATCTCATCAGGCACACCGACACAGAACGACAGCGTGGGACAACGCTCAGGCCCAGCCAGTGATGGCGCCGCTCACTCAATGCCGGGCATGGAGAGGAACAGGGCCGCAACAGGCACACAAGGGCCTCGCGAAGTCCGCCGGCACGTGGAGTTCGCCGCAACGAGTGGCAACAACGACATCATGGCGCCGATGCCACTCAAGCCGCAGCGCCCGCACTGCTTCGATCCTAGCCAACGTGGAGGTCCAACAGTTCAATCGTGGGTTTCCACGATGAACGTTTCCTTCGACGCAAATTACGTCGAGTCGGACGCAGCGAAGATTCGCTACGCAGTTTCGCTGCTAAGGGGCCCCGCCATGGACTGGTGGCGAGTCATCGTGACGTCGCCGCGCGCCTACGAGCCGCCGTCGCAAGAGGGAGGGCCCTCGGGTCCAGCCGTCACCTGGAATTCTTTGTGCGAAACCGCCCAGTACAGCACGTGGGATGCGTGGTGCGCAGGGCTTCGGGCGCGCTTCGAGCCGATTGCGGCTTCTATTTCAGCGCGTCATAGACTGCGTACTTGGCGACAACTCGGGTCGGACCAAGAATACACGAGCGGTTTTCTCGCATTATGCGAGCAAGTCGGCTACATGCACGAAGAGGAGCGGGTGGACAGTTACGACGGAGGGCTGAAGCCGGACATCTCGCACGAAATCATGCTACGAGGGCTCTCGAAATTCAACGAGATCCTCGCGCTCGCCGAGAAGATCGATATCCTACGCCAACCGAGACCGGGGTTCTACTGCGGACAACTTTCTTGAGGAACAGCCGAACACGCCATTGTACACGCCGTTGCAGCGAATGCAGCTGCCGCGCCATTTAACGGGCGCTACTTTGCTTGTAACAGGTCGGGCCATCGCAAGAGCCAATGCCCAGAGGAGCTGAGGCGCCGCGGAGCAGAGCAGGAGAAGGAGTCTCAAAGGCAGGGAAACGCCAGCAGTCAGTAGAAATCGGGCCAACTACTGACAAGACAACCTACCAAGAGCAGCAAGAGTCGTCCTCAGTGTGTCGTGCCACTCACGGGGTGCCTGGCGGAGACTGTAGACTGGCCGCCGGAGGCTCCACTGGGTACCAGCAGGAAACGACCCAGTGAAGCCAGGTGGGCGGCGCAGCCAGATCTCCTCGTGCAGGCTGCCCTGTAGGAAGGCTGTGCTGAAGTCAAGCGAGTGGAGCTCGTAGTCACGCTGAGCGGCGACGTGTAGCAGTACCCGAAGAGTGGTCATCTTCGGGGTAGGGGAGAAGGTCTGGAAGAAGTCAACTCCCTATCGGTGACTGAAGCCACGTGCAACGTAACGCGCCTTGAAGACAGGCGGAGAACCCGGCGGCCGCTTCACCCTGAAGATTCACATGCCACTGACGATGTTCGCCCCAGGCGGGGGAACCTCGTCGACGTAGGTGCCTGTGGACTTCCAGGAAGCCATCTCGGCGTCCATGGCTGCCTATCACTGAGAGGAGTAGGGACCCTCTATCGCCTCTGCGTAAGAGCGCAGGGTCGGGATGTCTGGTGCATCTGGGACTCCCTCAGGGGCAAGCAGCATGGACACGAGATGAGGTACAGCAGCGGCAAAGAACTCAAAATCTTCCTGTCTGTCCTCAAGAACGTCCGTGCCAAGAGCACACTCACCCCCGACGGACGGAGGACAGACAGACGCAGACGCAGACTCAGCAAGAAGACTAGTGGCGAAGTCTAGGCGACAGGCGGCAGCAAAGTCAACAAGCTCAGCAACTAGAGCAGACGCAGCAGTGGACTCAAACAAAGGGTCAGTGTCAGCAGTGGCCAGAAAGCGCATGACAGTAGGACTAGCAGCACGAAGGGAGTCAGACTCCGGGTCCGGACCGTCAGGAAGAGAGGACGCAGGAGGAGACGGCAGAGGGACACGCTGTGGAGCAGTGGAAGGACGCAGTGTCATAGAGTGAGTGCCAGGGACAGGAGGAGGACGCGGACGCGAAACACGACGACCAGCGCGAACAGTGCGGACAGGCGACTCAGAACGAGACTCAGGCGACACAGGACGAGACTCAGGCTCACAACGCTCCGTAAGACCTCTAGCCGGTCCAGAGTAAGGAGAAGGACCAGGCAGTGGAGAGGTCGGCTGTAACTGCGACTGTGACTGGATAGCGTTGGACTCAGTAAAGGAGGAGTAGGACAAGGAGAAGGCGGGAGACCAAGAACCTGCTGAAGGAGCGGAACATAGTACGGCCGCGGCCGCGCAGCGCCTCCTAAAGCAGCAGAGACAACACCAGTACCCTCAACTCCAGGGTCACCAGCGACAACTCCCGCAGCACCACCAGCTCCAGTACCTCCAGCAGCTCCAACTCCTGGAGCACCTCCAGCCCCAGCAGCTCCAGTACCTCCAGTACGAGCACCTCCAGGGCCAGCTGCTCCAGCACCTCCAGCAACTCCAACATCAGCAGGACCTCCAACAGCACCAGTACCTCCAGCAGCACCTCCAGCAACTCCAGCACCAGCAGCACCTCCAGCAGCTCCAGAAGCACCTCCAGCAGCTCCAGCAGCACCTCCAGCACCAGCAGCACCAGCAGCACCTCGACAGCACCGAGCGTACCACTCACGAAGCTGCTGCGGAGAGAGGGGCTCCCGCCGCGACGGGACATCCGGAGGACCTCCAGACGCAGCACGCTCAGGCTCAGCACCCCCAGGCCCAGCACCCCCAGACTCAGCACCCCCAGGCTCAACACCCCCAAGCTCCACACGCTCAGGCTCAGCACCTCCAGGCTCCGCACCCTCGGACTCAGCAACCCCAGGCTCAGCACCCCCAGTCCCCGCACCCGCAGGCTCAGCGCCCCTAGCAGCATCTGAGTCGACAGCTACCTCGACCGGCTTGGCAGGGTCTACCTGGGACACACCTGAGGGGGCAGGACCCTGAGGGGGGAGGGGGTCTACCGGAGGAGCACCTGGTGCTAGGAAGAGTGGTGGGGGGGGGGAGAGGGGCAGTGCGGTAGGGAAAGAGACGGTAGTAAGACACCGACTCGTCAAACGTGACGTCCTGAGAGGACAGAACACGACGCAAGGTGGGGTGGTAAAACTGCCACCCAGGTGCGTCAGGGGGGAAGCCAAGGAAGACGCAGGGAACGGCACGGGAGGACAGCTTGTGCGCTGAAGTATCGCGGACAAAAGCTCGAGATCCCCAGACACGGAACACAGACGCATCGCCAACCTTCCCCGTCCACCGCAGAGTAGGTGTGGTCTCCGGCAAGGAGACACGAGGCTGAAGGTTGAGCTGATGCGTAGCGTACTGAACCGCGAACGGCCACAGAAAATGGGGAGCAGCCGCATGGATCATGGACGTACGAGCGACGTCCATGACCATGCCAATGCGGCGCTCAGCAATCCCATTTTGCTGTGGGGAGGCCGGAAGCGTGAACGTCTGGCGGATGCCCTCCGCACGACAGAAGGCCCTCAGAAGGTCGGAGGAAAACTCACCACCTCTGTTTGAGTGCAGACGCAGAACAGGAAGGTCCGAGCCGGAACGCTCGCTGAGCTGGCGACGGGCACCGCGGATCCAGTCGATCAACACCTCAGTGACCTCACCCTTGCTGCGCAAGGGGAAGACTGTGGTGTAACGCGAGTAGTTGTCAACGACCAGCAAGAAGTAGCGATCGTGACCCTGTCCACGGACGCGGCCTGGGCCCCACACGTCCATGTGAAGAGTCTGCAGGGGAGCCTCCGTCGGAGGGAACGTGGAGGAGTGAGGAGCGGCGCGCTGCCGGCCCTCGACACACGGAACAGAGGTAGGGGCAGGCCCCGGAGGAAGGGGAGGGAGGGACCGGGGGAGACCCGAGACAAGGGTACGGGAGGCCATACCTCGAAGACGAGGCAGGGAGGGGTGACCAAGGCG